CAAATAAACCAAAATAAACCTTTCTAAACAACCTTTCTCTGCTGATTTGGTCCTTGTTTGGGTTTGCATGATCCTTGTGGATCTGCTTCCGTTGATTCCTCTGAGTCCTGGCACTAACGACTACTGTTGCTCAACTGGTTGTTTATCTCACCTGGCTGAAGCGAAGATGCCGGAAAGGACGGTTTCATTGTTTTATATTCGCGTTTTCAACCTTTTCATAGCCGCTGCGACACGTCTTTGGCAAAGCCAGCCAGTGCTTGTTGCAGCTTAGCTTTCCCCAACTTGTGTCCAGCAGGACTGGTGCAAGACTTGATGTGGTCTTTTGCAAAAAGAAATCCTGCCCTGATAACTGCCTTTGGTATGTGCTTGGCCCTCAGCCCTGCAGCAACTAGCTTTTGGTGCAGCTGCAACATATCAGAGTATATAGCTGAAGGAAGTTTAGAAGTCAAACTTCCGACAATATGGACAGATGGAAAAGCAGCGGTGGGAAGAGTCAGAGGAGAGAGGAGAAGAAGAAGAAGAAGAAGAAATAAGATCAGAGAAGAGAAAGAGTCAAAAGAAAGAAGATGCAGGTGCGCGAAAAGGTATAAAAGTCGCGAAACTATGCGTTCTTCCAGTGTTTTGGGGTTCCGGAGTCCGGAGGCTCGAAAAGTAGGCTCGCTAAAGCGGCGGGTGCGAAGCCATCTGGTCGTATAAGAGATGAAAAAGTGCACGCCGCTTTGGCGCGAAGCACATTTTGAAGTTCATTTCGAATTTCATTTTGAAGCCGGCATGTTAAAAACACCCTCAATGTTGGAGCACTTGTGGAAGTTGAGTTCTCGAGAAACCGCTATGGCGCGAAGGACGCTTCGAAGTCACAATGTGCAAAACACTTCAGCTCCGGAGCCCTTTTGGATATTGAGCTATGAAAAAAGCGCGCCGCCGTGGTGGCGCGAAGCACATTTGGAAATAAGAAATTGCAAGACTCACCACGTTCGGATCACTTTTTTGAAATTTGAGATTGTCAAAAAGTGCGCGCAGCGGTGGCGCGAAACACATTTTCAGCCAAAATGCTAAAACACAAAATGTTCAGACCACTTTTGGAGGTGGGGATGTCGGAAAAGTGTATCGTGTTGTGGCGCAAAGCACGTTTCCAAGTCAAACTGCGCAAAACACCTCAGCTCCGGAGCAGTTTTGGAAGTTGAGATGTGGCAAAAGCAAAGTGCATGCCGTTGTGGCGCAAAGCACATTTCCAAGTGAAAATGCTCAGAAGACATGTCCGGACCGCTTTGGATGTTCAACGGCACCACAACCACCACCATCACCACCACCAACAACAACGACAACGACAACGACGACAACGACAACGTCAACCACAACAACAACAACAACACTAGAACAACACTAGAACAACACTAGAACAAGACTAGAACAACACTAGAACACCACTAGAAGAACACTACAGCAACACTACAGCAACACTACAGCAACACTAGAACAACACTACAGCAACACTACAGCAACACTACAACAACACTTCAACTACACTACAACTAAACTGCAACTACAACTACATTACCCTACTCTACGCAGTAGGGATGCAGCCAGGAGTTTGCTTTGAGGCAGAACAAACGTTTTCACATCACAGGGTTTAGTTTGTCTTGCGGAAAACAAACGTTTTCCAACGGAAGAAAAGGTTTGTTTTACAGGTACAAACATCCTCCTGGGAATTTAGCCTTTAGACCTGAGGACATGATGTCTTTAAATGCAAGAATTTGTGTCAAAACACCTTCCAGAGTTGAAGGATGTTAAAGATGTGCTTTCAAAATTCACCTAAAGATGCCTAATAAATTCTAATAATCCTAATATGCACACAAATTATGTTCTCATATGATTGCATGCGCATCTTACTGATGATGCTTGACTGCGCCGTCGTCCATTCGACTGCAACTTGGGTATCCAATCCTTTAAAGGGGCACCCCTTCGTGTGCAACTTGGGTCTCCAATCCTTTAATGGGCCATGTGTGGCTACTGTGTGCAATCTTGGTTCATTGGGGTTAGATTCTTTAAGGCTGAAATTTGCTCTGGTTCGCATTCTTTAAGAGGCTACCAGTGGTCCCTTAAAGATTCAGGGGCCAGGGTGGGGACCCGAATTGCAAGGGGGATGTACAAGCTAACTTTTGCCCGTGGTGGTACATGCTTGCACTAGGAAAGAAAACCCAGGATCGCTCAAACAATGGTTTTTGATGGCCAAAAAAGAAACTCTTTCGTGCCAAAAGGTTAGTTTCCGGGCTCAAAACAAACCTTCCGGGAAACGTTTGTTTCAAACTCCACAACTCAAAAAAACTCAAGCACGGCCAGTTTCAAAACCCTGAAAACAAACCTTTTTTCGGCAAGTTTAGTTAGTTGGTTCGGGGTGCAACGTTTGTTTGAAACTAGTAGGTAGGGTGTTTGTTTCCACCCGGAAAACAAACTACGTGACAAAACTTTAGTTTCCGTTTCTTTTTCCTTGGAACACAAA